AAAAAAAAACTGATGACACTGATACTTGCGTCTATCTTTATTATGCGAACAGTATTATTTGCTTGATCAAATATAAAATCAAATTTGCCCGACGTTCTTTCTTAGTGATTGAAAAATCCATTTTGTTCATTCATTCGTAGAATCTGAAAAAAAAATTGTCTGGCTCGTAGAATGGAAGCAAAGTATGAGCTATCGAATGTCAGATTACAATGCTGTATGCTTTGAAACGTTTTTTTTTTGCTTCTCTTTTCAAAAGAACGAACAAATATTTTATTTTTAATGTCTATGGATGAACGAACAAGTTCGAGGGCCAACATCTCTGGAGGTGAGAGCCATTTTATCGTTGCTCTAAATTGAATGGTACGCAATATCCATTGTTATTTAAATGCGCGTTGACAAGTATCAATGCAAATATTTACTAATGCCAACCACATTTTGCACCCACACAAATACTCTATTTTTGTCGCAACGCTTGTTTATTTACGGAATATTGACGAAATAGTTTGACATAAAAATTCAAAGCAGTATTACGTAAGAGCTTGATGACCAATCGAACACGATGCTACATTTGACACGAGCGTCAACACAATTGTTTGTTTTTATTCCAAGCGTTCAGAAAGACATACATTTATGCGAGCAATTGAATGATGCTTGCATCATTTGATGCGCATCGCTAGTGCTTTCGTTGTGCGTTCGGAGCACTTCGTGCGCTGCCGAAGATCCGAATGTATGGCGACAGCACAATCGATGCGCATCAAATGATGCAAGCATCATTCAATCGCTCGCATAAATGTATGTCTTTCTGAACGCTTGTTTTATTCAGTGTAGAATATAGAGCATAAAGTGAACACTGGTTGTTCGAATAAAGCTTTCCTCCTTGAATTAATTGTTGAGCGCCTGCTATGAACAAAACCCAACTACGATGCTCGTATAAAGCTCGTGTCATTTGTTTCAATGCTATTGAATTTCATCTTTTTCATTTCCCTTCAGACTTTTTTTTTTTTTTCGTTGCACATAAAACTTTAAATTAATGCAGTTGAATCTACCACACTGCACACGAATAGAGGATAAAGATATACATTTTCAAACAATTTGCTTTGGGAATTCTAGAATTGATGGCAAAGAGTTGACTAACTTTGATTTTAAACTCAAAAGCCCACAGATTACAAAGCAATAAAAAAAAGATATTTCCCCGTTTTCCAAGAAGATCCTTGTACAGTTCGCTTATTTGCAATAAAAAGAGAATGGGACTTTTTTTTTATTTAATTTCTCGCGTTCAAAGGAAAACAAATTTGAATATTATAATTTGAAAGCATATTAATTTTAATTTCTGGCATTTTTGAGTCGATGGTGCTCGACCGAACTGGCGTTTATACGATTCATACTCATTTTGAATGCAATTGAATCTTCCCTCGGCAACTTTCATTGAAGAAGTTTAATGATAAATTCTAATAAAATCAAATATAAAAAAAAGATCAGAGCTAAATAAAGAAGATGTATACAGATGGTCATACATTTCGCTCTTTTCATACAAAATCAAGTGTTTTTATTTTTTTCACCCTTTTTTTCTTTGAATTAGAATCGCGCGAGTAAAATTCTGATTTACTACAGCACCTACAAAAAATACTGTAAACATGTAATTATTATTTAATCAGTGGAACGATAATTCCCCCTTAAATGTTATGCCGTTGATTACTTTATTTTCTACAGTGAAATGTGTATCTTGCGGTATGATTCGTGCCTATTTCGTCAGTTATTGTTATCATTCAATGTTTCCCTGAACTAATTAAATAAATACCAAATCTATTTGACGATGCAAAACATGATCGATTTGTTTGTTTTGTATAGTTTTATTATGTTTTTCTATGTGTGTATTCACAGGGAGCAAAAATTATTTGGATGACTGGCGTCAGAACTCTGTGTGGTAAAACAACAGCAAATGAATGAAAAAGAATCATAATTTGTCGATGGAAAACCATTGTCAACCCCATCCCCAAATTAGATGTATGACGATAATTTCGATGTGCAGATTTATCATCGGTGACATATAAAACAAAACGAGTTGCAGACACAACACATGTTTGATCGAAAAACATTCGAAAAACGACACTAAACAAAATCGAAAATACTTGAGCTTATTCATACATAGATACGCACGCAAATAAATACAAACGGGAAAGTTGTTAATCGTACGGTACACAAAAAGACGTTTTGCAATTTGCAAGTCTATAAGCCAGAGTGATCTAGGAAAAAAAAGCGCGAGCGCGCGTACACACACACACACGCATACACTCACACACTGTGAAAATTTGAATTGATGTGGAAAATTGTTATGCAAATGATGTTATGTATATTTGAAATGGAATTTATTGCATGAAAAACAAGGACGAACGATATCTAGAATCCATTTAAATGCTAACATTCGATTGTGCATAGCGAAAACGTATTCATACATAAAAAGACACTGACACACACGGGCGCACATAAAATCGCTCAAAGTTTTTTGTGTAGGTTTCGAATATTGAAATGAATTCGACGTGTGCTACAAGTTGATAGTGTGTGCTAATTTCAAATAATTTGTGTCTTATTTAATTTGCATATCGATATCAAAGATTCGATTGCCATTTCTCAAGTGCAAAAATAAACACTGAAAAGCCAACGAAAAGAAAGACTTTAAATCCGAAAGGGCTTGAATACAAAGACCTATACGAAAAACCAAACTACAATTTCAGCTGTGCATATAAAACGTATCACCACCGTGAGATAAATACAGGTAAGTAATGTACATTTGGAATTGTAATAAATTAAATTTTAGCCTAAATGATTCAAAAGATGTGAACTTAGTCGACACGTTTTGGGGTGCTTGTGTGTGTGTTACTATTTACCAAATGACGATGTTCCGTCGCCAATTCTGATGAAAACCAAAGAAAAATGAACAGAAATGAGATTAACAATTGGTTTACATTTTTGCCACAATTTTTTTCGTTTTTTTTTTTTCTACGATGATGGTTTTTTTTTATGAACAGTAAATGTTAAAATAGAATCATGGAAAATATTGAATTTTTTTCTACATGACAAAAAACATATTTTGGTCCTTGGCGTCCTTCGGCGTTGGTGCAAGGTATAAAATCTGAAACGATTTTTTTGTGTGAATTTGGACAAATTTCCGATATTTATTTGGGTAAATAAAGAATATTGAACACACGCAGACAAAATCCTCAAACGAAAATGTGAATTGTGTACCGTTGACGCACTTCACAAAAGGGAGAACATTCATTTCAAACGCTTTTTGTATAAAATACATTTCATTTTCTTTCAATGGCAATTTTTTTGGTTCCTTCTAATTAGGTCCATTGTAATAAATGTCATATTTTTAATGCACTTATTTGTACACGTCATAAATCAAATCGCACACACATTCAAAATCCCGGTCAGGAACCGCAAGCAAGCTATCTCCATTGTTGGTGAATTTCATTCAATTTCCCTTTCAAACGCTTTTTATATCTATGAAATATTGTGCCACTATACATTCGAATTATGGATTGAAAGAGAACGAGAACGAAAAGCGGCGTTGACAACAACTGAAAAGGCGAACGGAAGAAGAAATTTCTTTTCATCATATTGGACATTCTTTGAATTACACATTAGATTGACATGGTTCTCTGGAACTTCCGATTATATAATATTTTATAAAATATGCTTTCATCAAATTTGTGTATCACAATATCAAATATTGCACAATCTTTCATCGAAATTCATTCACTGATTTTTCATTAAAATTCAACCGTAAATCAAATGGCGTACGTTATGCACATCAAAAGAGAATCATCCAATTTTATTGTTTTGCTGAAAACGTGTTACGGATGCTTAATTTTCAATTGGTGTCAATTTGATGGTGAACAACGGAAAAAGTAATAATTAGAAATCAATTCAAACATTGTATCATTTCAATTCATTGAGTATTTTTATCAAATTTTCCACATTCGTTCATTCATTCATTTGATTTCCGGATTGCATGCGAATTGGTTTCGCTAATGAATTGATTGACGCGTGAATTTAACAGATGTGTGAATGATATAATATATTTGGTGTGCATGTGAGGGTTTGTGTGTGTGCAAATTGCGCGCGTATCAGAGAACACATAATCAATGGTATTAGAACAGCGTGCAAAATGTAATTCATTCATTCATTCATTATTATTATACTTGTTGGCATAGAGGATGTACCACAAAACACGCACAAATCTCATTCTTTGCTTATGCATCTCATTTTTTTTTCTCGTGTCGGTTTTATGTGCGTGAATGATTAAGTAAAAATGAGAAAGTTTGTATTGTGAAGATGTTTCATGCGGACATCGAAAGCGGGAAGGATGTGTCATGACTTGAAATATATGAAATATAACAAATAAATTTCAATGATTTGTGACGACTGACTTTATCTACATTAAGTTTCCATCGAAAAGAAAACAACCGAATTCAAACTAGAAAAAATATACCAAAATGAGAGATAAATGTCTATTATAATCAAGAAAACCAAAGATTTATACATAATTCGGTTCTTTGCCATTCATTTTTAATATAACTTCAACTCTATTCCAATCTCATCATTGGTGAAATGAATAGAAAAACGACAAAAATCAAGATCAAATTCTATTTTCTATTCGAATTCTTTTCTCTTTTTTTTTTCATTATAATTTCAAAGGTTACTTGCCATTAGAATATATCCAATGATCTAGGGGGTAGACACCTATGAATCCAGTGTGAATTATTTGATTTCTATGAAATCTTTGACTCTTGCGATTTCGGTGATTTCTCGATTCCAAACCTCAATATTGGACATAAAATACACTTATATACAAAGCTAATTTCACTGTGGTAGTGTGCGCCTATAGTAGAAGTCTAACACATAGTGTGTGTGCGGTACAATATACACAACATTTGACAGAAATCAAAGAAATCACAAAAATTGAATTCTGCGATTTCTGTGATTTTAATGATTTTTGTGATTTCTGTGAGTTTTGATTCCACGTGTCTACCCCCTAGCCAATGATATGTTGGCAATAAGAAAGAATCGAAAGTATCCGTTTTTATTTTCACTCATGCCACTTTTACATTCAATTCTCTACTCATGTAGAAACAAAAACCACCGATGACAATGCTCATCTTTTATTGCATGAATTGATCGAACTTTTTGCTCTCAAACTCTCTCGTTGAACTCGGCTAATGTATTCTATGCCGAAAAAAAATGAGCATTTGATAAAAAAGTTCTCGTCATTTCAAAATATATTATAATATATAATACACGAGGTCAATTAATTCAGAGTGAAAACAAGTTTTCATTAAAGCAAAAGTCACTCTATGCTTATTCAGTGAAGACAACACACGGAAAAAGATACAGAGATCAAAAGAAAAATAAAATTGAATGAAACTTTGTTTAAACGAATTCGTCTTCGACAGAAAGAAAGATATAGAGGTGGGGTAGTTGTATTAGAGATTCCTGCACGTTGCCAAACATAAATGTCAATGAACATTTTTTGGGGGAAAAAATGAGCATAATGAAAATTTCCCAGAAATTTTCATTGTCATCGACCTTTTGCCGTTTTTTTCCCTCTCGGCTATATTGTGGTTTGGTCTCTGTCCTTCATTTCCCTCTTGATCTATCTCATCAGCAAACATATTGCCATTCATTACCATTTGTAAGCGACCGTCATCCACATTTCAAAATTTTCGATAACATCAACAATAAAGTAAATAATGGCGCAAAAGGCTAAAACTTTTGATTTTATTAATCGAAACAGGAAGTAAAGTGGTTCCATCCACGATGGGAAAAAAAAGAGCACACACACACATTTACTGGAAACCAAAATGTTGAAATTGTGCGCACAATATAAACAACACAAGAATGAAGAGAAAAACAGAGAGAAAAAAAATTCTCTATTGAAGCGAAGAATATCGATTTGATGTCATTTGCAGGCCAATCTGCCAATCTACTATATTCGATTTAAACATAAAATTGCGCAGAATATTCACACAGCAAAAAAAAAAACAGAGAGAAATAACGCAACAATTTTTTTTTAGAAGTATTCATTCGATTGCACCAGATAGCTGTGTTTGACCAATGTTTGTACTTCATTTATGCACAAACCGTTTTTATCGCAATCTGTGTTTTCTATATTTTTAACGCAAAAAGCATATACTAATAGCATGGAATTGATTTGATTAGTTGGAAAATGCAATACCATGCAGTATATTTGGATATTCTCATCCAGATGTTTCAGCTCATCTGGCTGACGTCAGGCGCTGAAATGGAGCGAAAATACAATAGAAATGTTTGATATAGGTATAAAAACGCGCCTGACGTCAGCCAGACTAACTGAAATATACTAATATATTGTCGGTCATCGTTTTTTTCTTCCTTTTTATGTTGACGTTATACCTGGTTGCGATTCCAAGCCAGCATATGTACAAACTAATTCAAAAATGCATTCGACTTTTTTTCCTCTTATATTATCATTTCTAAAATTTGATTTGGTCACTTGTCGACACACACAATTTAATTTCACCCTTATTGAAAATTAATAGCAAAAAAAGTGTAAAATACGCTTGAAATATTTTATTGAAAATTCAATTTATATTGAAACAATGAACGCTTTATTGAGCCAGCAAATTTCATTACAAGTTGTAGCCTTTTTATGGTCGATTCCAAATGTCAATATGAAAAATTTTATGCATAATCCTCTCGTTCACTCGATTGCTCACCACCTCCACACACCAACCTTTGTCCGGATAATTACATTGATTTTTCTTGAATCTGTGATTTTACAGCATATATTCAATTAAATTGTGAACCGAACAAAATTGTTCAATGTTGCTCATTTCCAACTGAATTTTCGATTTTAGTTTATTTGTTCGTTTTTTCAATTGAATACGTCAATTAGCCGTTGGTTTTGTTGGCATTTTGTAATTCGGCAAATGTTCAATTTCCAAAATGATGATCAAAGCCAATGCCAAACGTTATTCAAATAAGTAATGCTCAATGTCAAACTAGATCAAATTAAGTGGCATAAAAATGAAATTATTCCATAATAAACAAAAATTTATAGCATCATCACTGAAATCGATTCAATCCCATGCCGTCTAACCATAGCCGTACTTAATGCATGCAAATTGAAACAAAGAAAAACAACGAATTTTACCATTTGCCGCTTTTCATCTTGATTTTGGGCGTGAGCGTGAGCGTTTTTTTCTCATCCAGTTTGCGATAAATCGCATTTGATATGCTATGACAATGTGACACATGACAAAAACGACATGTTATTCACCGATTACATGTATTCGCATCATACATCTATTGTATTAATAAATTATGGTAATTTATTTAGTCACATTAATCCGAAATAAAGTAAATAAACTTCTAAATAACACGAAAAGAAAAAAAAACTATTGAATGTCATAAGAATGTTATGGAACGAGGGAGCTAAAAGTAAAGTATGATAGAGAATCCTGTCATAAAATGATACCGAACCATAAAAAACGATGTATAATAATTCATTTAGATAGAAAATGCCGCACATTTTACACTTTATAAATGGAATAATGCAACATGCAATGGGACGGGACGGGTGCATGTATGCGTGAGAGAGATAGTCAAAGTGTTACAGCCAGAGAGATAGTTTTATGAAACCGAACAAACCAATGTTGCTTAAACGCAAGTTACGAAAAGTGTTGAACATTTGTCAGAGTTTATGAAATAGAGTTTGCTAATGGATCAATG